ACAATGTAAATGATACAATGATATTACAATTCTTGATTTTCAATTAATGATAAATAATATTAATTTAATTTATAACACATATAGAAATATCAGTATTATATTATTAATCAAATACTACATAAATATTATAATATAATATTACAATTATTTATACAATATTATAAAGTTATAGAACTTGGTATTTGTAAGAATGGATATAGCCTGAAATCAATTAGGTAATACATTTTTTAGAATTAACTACAATTAATTTAATTTATAATACAATATAGAAATAATATTATCATATAATATTATTAATATAAATCATAAATAGTGCTATAATATTGGAATTATTTATAAAATGTTATATAGAAACATTTTATTTATGAACGGATACTAGCAGAACTCAATTTAGTAATGATTAAGGATATTCATTTTATTTATAATTATATGATCATAGTGTTAATATAATACTACATAAATATAAAATTATAACATTACAAGTATTTATACAATATTATAAAGTTATAGAACTTGGTATTTGTAAGAATGGATATAGCCTGAAATCAATTAGGTAATACATTTTTTAGAATTAACTACAATTAATTTAATTTATAACACAATATAGAAATAATATTATCATATAATATTATTAATATAAATCATAAATAGTGCTATAATATTAGAATTATTTATAAAATGTTATATAGAAACATTTTATTTATGAACGGATACTAGCAGAACTCAATTTAGTAATGATTAAAGATATGAATTTTATTTATAATTATATGATCATAGTGTTAATATAATACTACATAAATATAAAATTATAACATTACAAGTATTTATAATTATTATCATATTGTTAATATAACTTGTTGTATTATATTTGTTAATATACTAGATAAATATAAAACTATAATATTACAATTATATGATTTTTTATTTGTATGAATGGAAAACCAAAAGCTAATAATTATGACTATATAATATACAATACAGAAATGATATTAACATTATGACAACGGCAATAATAAAAATAATAATACAATTTTGAATGTATATTTTCATATAAAGATGTAGGTTTTATACACTTTTCACTGTCCAGTGAATCAGATTTGGAGCATCAGCGTGATTAAAGGCTGAGTGTTCAAGTCTGTGAGTTTCGATCTACAGAAGACCAGCATAAACACTCTGGGCCCTGTCGTGGAGCTGCGCGAGGGGCCTCACACCTGTAGTTCTCCTCCTGCAGCTGCTCCATCTGACTCTGCAGCAGCAGCAGCTTCTTGTTGGTGATGGTGGAGGAGACGTCGGGCGTCTCACAGCGATTGAGACGCTCCCGCAGAGACTGAAGCTCCACCTGCAGCGAGGACTTCTCCTCCATCAGAACAGACACCTGAATCACACACAAACATCTCACTTACTACTCAAGCCAACCTTCCTGCTTTTATTATCACTCAGTTCAGCAGTCACCTGCTTCTGGAGCTCCCGGCAGCGGTGTGTGTAGTCTCTATCGTCCGTCTCTTCACTCAGAAAATAATACTTCCTGGACTGAGGATCAACAGGACGAGAAAACGTGAGATAATGCAGAAAACCCAAACCCATCTGATCCTAAACACCACACACTCACCTGACTGTCGAAATCCCCATACGTCTCTGGAGTTCCTGTCTCCACGGGCCCTTTGGTGAGCAGCTGAGACACAAACACAATAAGACCTCCATTAGATCAACAGCACAGCAGTCACACGCTCAATCTGCTGCTCTTCACAGATCTACACGTGGCCTTCTGGGAGAACAGAGCTAGTTTTCACACAGATCAGTGGAGAGACTGTCCTCCTCATCGTTTGAATGGAGGAAGTTACAGAGAAATAAACATTTGAATAAAGCCCAAAAGTGTTGACAGCGACCCGAGACCTGAAGTATTTCACATTCACTTCCTCCACGGGGACTTAATTTATGTATTTTGGAGCATGTGCGCGGATTAAAAAAAAAAAATCCAGCAGGTCCTTGAAAAGACTAAAAAAATTCAGTTTTATGAAATTTAAATGTCATAAGAAGTCTTATATACACTGCCGTTCAAAAGATTTTTTTTTTTTTTTTACCAAGTCTCTTCTGCTCATCAAGGCTGAATTGATTTGATCACAAATACAGAAAAAAAAAACAGTAATATTGTGAAATATTATTACAAATTCTAATACTGGTTTCCTATTTTACTATAACTTTAAAATATAATTTATTTCTGTGACGCAGCACTGTATTTTCAGCATCATTACTCCAGTCTTCAGTGTCACATGATGCTTCAGAAATCATTCTAATATACTGATTTATTATCAGTGTTGAAACTGTTGTGCTGCTTCATATTTTTTTGGAACCTGTGAAACATTTTTCTTTGATTCTTTGAGGAATAAACAGTTAAAAACTGTACAGCATTTATTTAGAATCAAAATCTTTTTTTTTTTAAACAATATAAGTCTTTATCACTTTTTATCCATTTAACACATCTTTGCTGACTAAAAGTATGAATTTCTTTAAAAAAAAAGAAAAAGAAAAAACATTTACTAACCCAGAAGACTGGAGTAATGATGCTAAAAAATTCAGCTTTGCTTCGCAGGAGTAAATTATATTTTAAAGTGTATTAAAATAGAAAACTGTAATTTTAAATTGCAATAATATTTCAAATAACATTTTTTTTTCTGTATTTTGATCAAGTAAATGCAGCCTTGATGAGCATAAGAAACTTATTTAAAAAAAAAAACATTCAAAATCTTACTGATCCCTAACTTTTGGCAATGCATCTTAAATGGTATAACAAACATCTTAATTTTTAAAGATCTTAAATTTAGGGACGGAAAAGCAAGAATGGTGAAACAGCTTAGCGTGATTATTAAACTTCAAAAGGCTATGATTTACTGAAATAAAACCGAGCGCCGCTGCACGTTTCAAAGTCACAACGCTACACATTCGACTCATGATAGACTGTTTATCAATTAAGAAAGTGTATATTGTAATATGTAAATAGAGAATATGATGGTAAGAGTGGATATTTTATCTCCATCTGTTCAAATGAACAGACATTTCAAAATAAGAGTCCTTGTGTATTTTGGGCTTGTTTATAATTATAAGTCCAGCATTATACATAAAATTTTTTCTCATAGTTATGATTGGCATTTTGGTTACACAATAAACCGTATCTGGCATATATTTCTAAATTATATATAAACAAATAAAGAATGCAGTTTAAAGCAAAATATTTAAAAACCCAATACACATTTTGTATTCTGATTAAATCATTCTGCATGCTAATTTCTTCTTGCATCCCTTTACTAAGGAAAAGCTTACATTATTTGCTCAATTTTCATTGCATTCTCAAAGTTTTGTTTTAATATGCTCCTAAAAGCACAAGTGCTTCTTTGTGTGTTGTGTACCTCTTGTATAGCCGTCATCACAACATGCTGCACTTGTTCCTCCAGCGTCATGATCTGCTGAATGTGCTCTGAGAAAGGAAAGAAAATCATATAGTTATGACATTTAGGCTGATGGTTAATTAACAGACCAAAAAAAACAAA